ATGATGTTATCGTTTGATCAAGTCTATGGCCTATTGCTAAACGGATCTAAAGGTTTTATATGTTTATCTTTCTAAACATTTAATTATGGTATTAGAATTATCATATAACTTTTCAGAGTGATAAGGAGATTTATACGCCTGTCGTAAAAAAATTTCCTTATCTCAATTCTCGTCGGTGCACACTAAACATCTGCTAGAGTGTATAGATCGTAATGGTGAGAAATCGTAGATGATTAGGAAATGGTAATGGAAACCAACAGCCTGGACCATAAGTGATTGAGTGTGCACCAGAAGTAGCAGCTGTACCTAAGCCAATCACGATGGCAGGAACACAAGCAATGATTTGGGCTTTGTTGGCCGAAAAAAGAGAGGAGGTGAGTCAAATGTTTCTTAATAGGGATGAACCTACTGTACTCATTGTACACTTGAACTGAACATAGAATAATCAAAGGAAGGAAATTATAGTCTGACTATCAGTGAAGTTGAGCCATGTATGGTTAGAAGAAACCAACCTAATGGAGGAAATGATGGATGTTGATGTAAGTACAAGGATTTCATGGCATCAAAGGCACCAAGTATTTATGGAAGCCCAACACCGGTAGAAGACATGTATTGGATCTCCAAGATGGAGATGATGTTTGAAAGTTACGACTATAGCAACAAACAGAAGATTGTTCTCGCGGTTATACAGTTGAAGACTGGAGTATTAAGTTGGTGGAAGTTACTGGCTGATACAATGCCCAATGGAAAAGCTAGCAAGATTTCTTGGGAAGACTTTTTGGTGCAACTTAAAATGCAATATTTCTCTAAGCATGATCTTCTAGAGATCAACAATGAGTTCCAAAATCTGAAGATGGGAATGATGATAATCAGCGAGTACGTTGCAAGTTTTACAGAGAAAATAAAGCTTGTTCCTTCTTTAGTTCCAACTAAAATCTATAAGGTTAACAAATTTACTAGTGGATTACCAGCTGACTTCAGTCTAGTAGTCAAACAAGCAACCACCTTGAAAGCTGCCATATAGGCAACTAAGAATGTAGAGACCCAGATAAGAGAAAAGGGACAAGAAAAATATAAGTTAGTAGAAAAGAGGAAGATTGCGGTATCCTCAAGATCCAATAAGAAAGCAAGATTCTCGAAGTTCAAGTTGAACGACCAAAAGTATGGGGGTAGTGGTGGAGCCAAGTCGTGTGAGAAGTGCATGAAGAAGCATTATGGGAGATGCAACGGAGAAGTAACTTGTTATAAGTGTGGGAGGATCTCTCATTATTCCAAGGATTGTATGTTTAATGATAAGGTATGCTATGGATGTGGAGACAACAGACATATGTCAAAAGATTTTCCAAAGAAAAATGAAGCAGCAAGATCGAATGTACCACCGAAACCAAAGGCAAGAACGAAACATTCCAGATGATCCTTAATGAAGAAAGCGGAAATGCAAGAGATCAGGAATATGGATCTATATATATATATATATATATATATATATATATATATATATATATATATATATATATATATATATATATATATATCTGAAGATCGAGATATAATGTAGCCATATATAAAGTATCATTTAGTGTAGCCTAGTATAAGAGGCATATTATAGGGTGAACATGAATATCTATGTAATCATATCAAGAAGTAATATAGGCCTTACTTATGTTATCCGATGTGTTAAATTGCTATGTGAAATTCTTGTATGATGACTTGGAGAGCTGCGAGACAAAACTTGGGATGAGTATGAGTAGGTGTGAAAGGTAGTAGAGGCCTGAAAACGTCTATTTTATGCATATATTTATGACGTTTTCTTATTATTTTATACCATGTTTTTATGTTATTCAGAACTAAAAGATACTTAATATGTTGTGAAATGTTCAACTATAGTTAAAATGGGAGTTGGAATGCAAAAGGAGGTGAAATGAACTCAAAAGAAGCAAAAAGGATGTTGTTGCACAACTTGACCCCTCGTTAGTTTTTTGGCCATATCTCATGACTCATAACTTCGATTGACGAGATTCAAAATGATCTAGAAACTTGACACAATTCCAGGAAACTTTTATTGTTTGGTGAAAATGTTGATTTCCAATTACCACAACATGGTGACACCACCACGACATGCTAAATCGAAACTTCGTGATTGTTGAGACTAACTTAGAGAGTACGTGATATACACGAGGACCATGACGTGGTACCATTACCACGTCGTGGTCATCGGATTTTCTGGAATCTATATATTTCGAGAATATGGACGATTTATAGGGGGGATTTCTGACTTTTATTGATCCTTAGTGAAAAGTAACCTTTATTCTGCCAAGGCCACCGAAAGGCCATTAACCTGACAGGATTGAAGATCTGAAGGATTGGAGAATAGATTCATGTTGCTGACCATGAGGTTTGTTATCATGACCATGTTTAGCATCCCAATGTGGTTTCGTTATGTGTTTACTTTCTGGTTTAGGTGTTAAAACCTTGCACTTTGTGTTTTATGATTGAATGAGTCTTTAAATTTATGGTTTAATTGCTATTTGGATTGTTTATTCTTATATAATTTATTTTGTCAAGTTTGATTGAAGATCCAAATGTGTTAAAGATTGTTACTTTGTTCTCTATTGCTGAATTAATAGAGTTTAGATAACTATATAGCTGTGTTCATTTGAATCATAGTTATCCAGTGACCATTGGTGATTATGACTAGAGTTTTGACCAAAACCTCATGTTTGGAAATAAAGTAATGAACTTTAATGTGTGGGCATGACTAGAATGACCATTCTCTGCATCATTTAACTCATATGACCATTAGGATTAAATAAGATCAAAACTTGCTTTAATACAAATTAAATGTTGATTTGCATGATTGTTTGTTCACTTGATCAATGAATTAATAGTTGTGTTGAAATCAAAGGATTAGTAGTATTGACCATGACACTAGTCATATTAGGAATCGGTGAAGAATGAATAAATATCCATTGTATTAGTAGTTAGCCATTAATTTGTGATATAATCTATCTAGGCCAAAGTACCTAAAGAAATTTGTCTTCCAGTCAGTTTATCGATATTTAATGTTAATCGATATTTAATGTTAAGTGGTATTTGAAGTATTTAATAAAACTCTTCTTATTATTTATTTTTGTGTAACCTATAATCAAACATTCTAAAATTAATTCACCATCGTTCCCATGTAATCAACATCTAGTCTTATCACAACTATACTACTACACAACTAGGTATATTCCTTTGTGTGTTTATTAGTCCGGTTGAGATAAAATCAGTTTTATAAATTTAAAACTTGAGTAATTAAAATATATAAAAAACACGCATCAAGTTTTTGGCGTCGTTGCCGAGGAACAATTTTAAATTAATTTAGTTTGTTCGATTAATCGTTATTTGTTTTTAATTTTTAGCTTTATTTTATTTTTATTTTTATTTTCTTTGATATCATGTCACTTGTCGAGAATGTTTTTTGTTATGTGTAGGAATTCATGATCATACACATTACTTAGTTTTACTTTTTTTGCATGGGTTTGGAGATTGCAAACGATTAGGGAATTCTTGACTTGTTTAGTCTACTACTTTGCTAATTTGTCCAACTGAATCCACGCGGTGTAGTATAGAAAGGTGTATCGAAGTGGTTAAGTGGAAGACCGATCTCTTGCTACTTTTGACTAGTTTGGAGAACTCTTGTTCTACTTATTAGTTAATGGTGCAAAGAAAACAAAGGAAATAGTCTGAAAGGTCCCAAAAGTTTTTGTTTTCACAAACCACCTCTTGCATGTAAGGGATTTAATCAACAAATGTAGTTTGATTTCGACGAAGACTAGTGATTGTGATATCATTTTATTTATTTTTGTTTGCTATTTTTGAGTTATTTTAGTGAGTTTTAATTTTTATTTTTAGTTTGTTTAAATTTTGTTTTTGCATGTTGATGCTCTTGATGTTTTAGATCTTTGTAGAACTTTTGCCCTTCGGATGCTCTTAGAAATTTCAATAATTGGGGTCAAATGCTGATTTGTCACGAGATAAAAAGTCGTACGATTTTTGAATATTACAATTAAAGACCATATTTTTGAATAGGTGTGGGGTTCCTTACTTGATGAGAGAAGTGTTTTGAAGGAATTCTACAGAAAGAAGAGTTCGAGAATGGTCTTAAGCCCTTAAGAAGAAAAGATGCATTATTTTGGCTCTTAAAGACATTCTGAGAAGTCACCATGACATGGAACCATTAGACCACGTCGTGGCATTCTTATTTCTCATGATCATTACGACTCCTCACTCGACACCATGTCGTGGCGTTGCTTTCCCACGTCGTGGATGATGATCAACACACTTTTTAAAGATAGTTCTTTGGTTTATTTTGATCTGGCACATTTACATTCATGTGAGAAGAGCCTAGAAGTACTGTTTCCAACCATTATACAACACTACTAGAAAAATAGCCTTTTACAACGCTCATTGTGTGTCGTAAAAGGCTCAGACGACGCACAAATGCGCGTCAAGGAAGGCCTTGTCATAAAGAGAGACGACACGCATTTACGGCACACAATTACGACGCGCGTTTACGACACGCAATGCGTATCGAGGAAGGCCCTGTTATAAAGGAAGACGACACGCATTCGCGTGTCGTAACCTTACGACGCGCGTGTTAATGACAAGCAATGCGTATCAAGAAAGACCCTGTCAAGAAAGGTCATGTCATAAATGAAGATGACACACATTTTTGTGTATCATAATTTTAAATGTTTAAAAAAATATTATTTATAGATTTACTAATTTTCAAATTAAATTTGTATTGAATGTCTTATAATAGAAAATAAAATATCATATACAAAAAATACAATCCATTGCATAAAATTTAATGTCATACAAATAATCGTTCCATGGAAAGATAAAACAAATCAATAGAAGTTGTAACAAAAATTTACTAACTAATGAGATACAAGAAATAAAAAAAATACCCTCAAATGCTTTTCAAAGTCTAATCTCCATGTTAGCTCTTCAACTCACTTCTCCAGTTTGTCCTTAGCTTCTCTAATGGGTCCAACATCTCTTGCAGCCTGTGACAACATTCTTAATTCTTTCCTAAGTGCCACCTTTTTCCTATCTGTTAATTCCCCTGTGCTTGTGTTGAGTAAAAAGTTCAAAAGATGTCCATCCCCAAGTGCACACAACCCCTCCTGATGTCAGGATGAAGGTCGGGGGTGGTTATTCCCATTGGCTTGTAGTGATAAGACAAATCACACTTACCATGTCAAGAGAGGACATGCTCTCCAAGCTGAAAACGGAAAGTACACCCATCTCCAATAGAACAGGGAATGCCCCAAGAAACTTGAAACTTTTTGTACATTCCACAGCCAAATAAACTACTGCACCTTATTACATTTATAATTTTAATGATAATCAATATAAGAGGGAATTTTTATTTTATTCAACATCCATATATACTTACCCCTTTGTCAACCAAGTCTTTAGCAAGCTTTCTATTGGATGTGGTCTCTTCATCAGATTTTGACAAGAACATAATAGCCTTTCCAAGCCCACTTTTCTTTAATTGCTCTTTTCTATCATATTGATCTAAATGAATTGGGAACTGGAGGATAAGAACAACTAATAATTAGTTATAACAACATAAAAAAAGCATATAATTAATCTCGGTTGATTCTATACCTACCTCAATTAGGATCTTCTAGAACTCCATGATCTAGAAACTCTAATTGAAGTTGTTTCCTGCATTAAGAGTTTAAAAAAGGTAAATGATATAAACAATACTATGTAACAGATATTTGACTTTTGCAAATAAAAGACTTTACTTAGATAGTACTTCAGTTAAAAGTGGCAACTTTTTGAGTTTATTAATAGCTGGTTTTGATTGTCTGTTTAGCTCTGCATCTTCTTCTGCTACAACTTCAAGTTCAACCATCACATTTTCAACAAGTAATGCAATCTCTGCAGCACTTTTCTCGATCTTCTTCTTCTTCTTACCCATCTTGAACATGTCTAATTCTTATCTACAAGAAGATTTGAAGACTTCTAATCACGGTGAATAATCGGTGGGTTGCAATGATGAAGAAAACTTATGCCTCGTGCCTTGAGAGAATCACAAATAAGACAAACAAATCAAAAGAAATATGGAAAAGATGATAATTAGCATGCTTACTGCTACTTACGAAAATAATAGTTACCTCCTGTTTAAATGATACCATCAAAACTTTGGGATAATTTTCAAGCTGTCTATGCCATCAAAATCATGCTACATAGCTATTTCTTTTATAACCATATGCCAACATCCTCCATTATTGATCTTACAATGCCCTGGCCCACTTCCTAGAGCAACCGGCCTTCAAAACAACACCTTTTTCTAACTTTCCTATGAACAAAGATTGAGTAATGTAAGGAATGGAATCGGTATAACAGTAAACACACCATACCAAGCCAACAAAAAATACCATGATTAGAATCGTTTAAGCCTCCACTGAGGAAGAGTCGTGAAGTTTTGAATCTGGAACAGGTGGGGGTGGGGCCCTGATCATGACACTCTGGATGAACGCAAGCATCTAGAAAAAGGGTAAAATGGTCATTTAATAGATGGTAGTTATTGAGGTCTTTTGATTTACAAGGAATAAAGAATGTGTTTTGATGTAACAACCAACATAAAACTGAAATCTTTTTTCTTCTTTATACCCGATTATGGTCAATAAAATGTCAAACAAAAGGGTAAAATGGTCATTTAGCCTTGAATAGAAAGTAGTTAGAGGTTTTTTTCTTATGCACAACAGAATAAAGAACGTGATTTTTATGTAACACCCAACATAAAACTGAGATTTTCTTATTTTTTTATATCCGATTATGGTCAATAAAATGTCAAAATTCAATTAAGAAAAAAATATATATTTCTTACCATAGCAAATGAAGCACAAACAAGACTAAAACCAGGAAACTCAAATGGAGCATTGTCAAATAAGAATAAAGCTGTATAAAACCATAAAATTCATTAGTTTTGGTTATAATTATTAAAAAAAATGTATGCTACTATTGTTAAAAAATTAATCACCTGTTAGAGGGTTGAAAATTAGTGGTGAAACAATATTGGCAAAAGAACTAGGCATGTAATGCACCCTTGTGCCTTTCCCTGAAAACAAAGTAAAATCATACTTAACAAAATTAAATGACCATTTTACCCTTCTATCTAGAAGTAAGACGTAATTAAAAAAAATTAATTAAATAAAATATATAAACGCTTAAGATTACCTGCTCAGTGGGACCTACTTGTTTGGACACAATACTTCTCAACTGAAAAACATCAAAAACTTGATACGATAACAAAAATCAAAAATAAATAAATACTACAGACACAACTAACTCACACTTGGTCCAGTAAAAATAGCCAAAATCTGAAACATCGCTGCAATATAAACAACCTTTTTGATACAAAAAATAATAATCATTCCAGCGAACTTCTCATCTGTTGCTGCAGTCTCCAGTTGAAACCAGAATCGACTTCTTTCAAATTCTCTTTATCGGTAGATTCTAAAATCAGGTTGACAATTGTAGAAAAATTCAATGCGCTTGTGAAATAAACGCTGTTTTTTCTTCTGTACAATTTTGTCCATAAATGGTTCCCTGAAAACCAAGTAATTATGTGCAATTAGATGAGAGAAAAAATAGTGCATTTTGCTGAGAATTAATATCACCGAAAAACTTGCAAAACTTGCTTCTTAGTAAGAACAGTGGAGCACAAGATGAAGGAAGAACAAAGAAGAAAGCAAGAGGAATTAAAGAAAAGCGAGAGAAATAGTATTGGACGGCGGTGAGGCGGTAATCATAGCTGATAAGAACAGAAAAGAAAGTGTCGTTACCATGGAACGCCAACTCCTGCTTTGTTTCAAGCACCGGTTAGAAAACGGGTAGAATCATCGATTGATGTAGGTTACACCGCCTTCCCCCCAAACGACACATCAAACTTCTTTTCTATCGTTTCCTAGGGCTCCTCCCTTGAACCTTAAATTCAAGGTTTTCTCTTGTCTTGTCCTCTCTTAAGACTAATCCTAATCTCCAATTAGCTAACATGATAAATGCTTCCAAAAACAAACAAATATTATTTAGAAATAAAGCTATAGTTAAATAAGATAAGTAGCTACATAAAAGGAGAAAGTTTTACCAAAATCACATAACAAAGACACAAACTAAAATCATATTTGGAAGGGAAGGGACTTACTAACAGGTGCAACATCTGATTAAAAAAACCTTCAAAATACAGAGTTAGAAATGAAATTAGGGTTCTAGCCCTTTACCTGGATCGATTCCAGACATGATGAAGAAAAGAGAATAAACATAGGGCTTCAAAATATATTCACATGAAGAGAATGCTAGAAGATGGATTAAAGTGAAAAGGGTTGAAAAATTGAAAGTTTAATATGAAATACGACCAATATCTAAGCAGAACTTATGAACTGGATTCCAGATTGAAACTCTAATTTTTGTTGAAAAGAAGCAAGAATCAAATGAGTTGGAATATACAATCTTTGTTCTTTCAAATCATGTAAAAATAAAAGATAATAAAGATGAATCATAAAGTGTTCAAGAGAAAGAGAGAAACAAAATCTAGAACGGAAGCGAAGTCCAGAAGATGGTCGAACCAAGTAGCTGGTGGCAAGGTTAGAAGCGAAACCCACTTTCAAGTCTCCTGTGTAGAAGGCCCAATAAAGGTTAAAACAGGAAATTCACATGGATCGGATAGGATTATAATAAATAGAGAGAAATGTTACAGTAAGGGGTGTTCCTTCTCCTTGTATACACGGGTGACCTGATATATCCAGGAGATTAACTGTTGGTGCACTTCATCCATTAGATAGTGAAAGCTTTCTGTAACAAAAGAAAGCGTTAGTCACTTGCAACAGACAACAATAGTGGATAACTTCCCCAAAAGAGTATGGTTGACCTACCCTTGAGATTTTATTGGAAATGTGGCATTAAGACGGAAGAATAGTAGATGCACCAGTGTTCCATGGCTCTTTCAACCTTCAATCATGTGCCAAACATGAGAAAATCAATGTTAATAGAGGAATCGAGCAGAAAACCCTAGCTTACAGATGAAATCAACATAAACAGTTCAAATTTAGATGAGAAAATCAATGTGAACAGTGGAATCGAGCCGAAAACCCTAGCCTTTTCCTTCACCCATCTTTCTTGTGCTGCTGCTGCTTCTTCTTGGTTGTTTGTAGAGAGAGAAAGAGAGGAGTGAAAAAGGGTTTGCTGCTGTTGATTAAGTAAGAAATGGAAAAAGAGCGACAGAGACATACCTTATTTGAGAAGTGAGAGATCCAATGACGGTATTGTATTCAGACAAATTGTTGGCGTAGTTTCTCTTGGCATAATCGTCGGCGGAATCGGAAAACTGACGACGGCCAAGTGTTGCGAGTAGTGGTTGGCGATTGGCTGATGAACCAGCAACAGTGAAAATGAATGCTATTGGCTAATGAAAGCCTTAGTTCATGGGTGCGAACTTGTGAGGTCCAAATCATAAAAAGTAAAAACCCTAGTTCTTCTTTGATATCGGGGATAAGAAAAGCCTTTAAATCGCCGACATTTCGAGTTTTAGGATTCATAGACTCCCAATCACCGACTCCATAAAAAATATTTTGAGGTTCGATTTTTTAGGGAATGCGGGTACTTGAATTTTTTGGGGATTTGGTTTCCCCCCTTAGTTGCATTAAAGAGGGACGCGCTTATTAAAATTTTATAAAGCGACATCTCTACACGACGCCCACTTAAATTTATGCGCCTTCCGTATTTTTAATTTTTTCCGTTGGACATTAATTTTGGGGCACGCACAAATGCGTATCCTCTATTTTTCAAATTTTGCAAAACTAACATTATTTTTTAGGGCACGCACCAATGCACGTCCTCTATCAGCGAGTGTCATTGTTTGCGCGTCATTAAAGGCCTGTTTTCTAGTAGTGCAAGATGTCCAAGTCTTCCAGCACATTCAAAAGCAACATTCCAGATTCTATTATTCCAACGGATTTTGGAGCAACTTTTAGCGGCCCCATTCGATCTCGCCACTGCTACCCCAGTGGAGTTTGTTCCAATTTTCTCTTTAATTTTAAGTTCTTTAATTGTTTTAACATCCACTGGGGGCATTGCATCAAATAAGTGTGGGGTAGGGGGTTGAATATAGGAATACAAGCTTACTGATAAATTAAAATTTTGAAAAATGACTAGCATTTAAAAACTATTAGAAAGATTTGAAAAAAAAAATCTAAAATTAAATCTAGTGAAAAAATTGTTGTGTTGAGATATAGGTTGCTACCGTTGTGAGGGATGATCCGACGCGAGCTTCAATGTTTATTTGAGTCAATATATGTTATAGTGTATTTGTGGCTTCCCTATACTAGAGAAATCATTGAACAAAAACACGACCTTGCTTAGTTTGAGGGCTACAATATGTTTAGCATCATGTACCAGAAAATGTATCCAGAAGAGCTTATGTAGTCATTGCACATTAAACTAATATCTCTAACAAATAAGGGTTGAAGTTAAGTTCCCTTGCTTAAGCATATGTTTTTCTGATTTTTAGTTTTGAGTGAAAAAAGTGAGAAAAGAAAAAAATTGAAAAAAAGTTATGAAAAAAGAGAAAATGAAGAGAATAAAAAAGTTGAAAAACGTTTCAAAGTTCGAAAGAGCCTACAAAGGTATGAAGATCAAGAAATATCATGAAGAGAAACTCCAAATTATCAAAGACTCAAGAATAAGGCGAAATGTGTCGAGTTATTTATTTTATTTTTTATTTTCTAGGTTATTTTTACATATGTATGCTTTGGGGTTTAACCAAAAATACATTGAGGTAAAAAAAAGTTTTATGGGGATGGTTTGGGAGGGATGCATAAAATAAGCGTTGTTCAAATGAAGTGGGCAAGTGTTTATGAAGATTGTGAGTATTTAGGCATGGAGAGGTTCTTAGGAAAATTTAGACACCAATACATGCAT